GTTCTGGGAAGAAATTTTCTATAGTTGTGAGAAGTACTTTTCTGAGGTTGTGGGAAGAACTTATATCATGTTCTGGATAACTTCCCTAAACTTTTGGGAAGAACATTTCTTAATTTCTGGATAAAACTTCCCTGGAGGTCTAGAAAAACTTCCCTTTAGGTCTGGGTAGAACTTCCCTAAAGTTCTGGGAAGAACTTCCCTAAAGATATGGGAAGAATTTTTCTTTAATTATGAAAAAAAAAACATCCCTAAAGCTCTTCGAAGAACTCTTTCCTATAGTTTTGGAAAGAACGTCCCTAAAGTTCATGGAAAAACTACTCTGAAGTTTCTTAATGAACTTTATTGAAGTTTTGGAAGGAACGTTCCTGGAGCTCGGGGAGAGCATTTCTGAAGTTCTGAGAAAAACTGTTTTAACGTTCTGGGAAGAACTTATCTCAAGTTCTGGATACAAATTTCCTAGACTTTTGGGAAGAACATTTCTGAATTTCTGGATGAAACTTCCCTGGAGTTCTAGTTCTGGGAAGAACTTTTCTGTAAGAAGTTCTTTTCTGATGTTGTCGGAAGAATTTCCCTAAAGTACTGGGAAGAACTTCTTTGAAGTTTTGGGAAGAGCTTTCCTAGAAGTTTTGGGAAGAACTTCCTTGATATTCTGGGAAGAACATCGCTAAAGTTCTGAGAAAAATTCCCCTGGAGTTCTGGGAAAAACTTTTCTAAAATTCTGGGAAGAACATCCCTTCAGATCTGGGAAAAACTTGCCTCAAGTTGTGGATATAACGTTTCTAGAGTTCAGGGAAAAAATTTCCCGAAGTTTAGTTCTGGGTATTTTTTCAAGAACAACCCTTAAGTTCAGGGAAGAAAAACCCTAGATCTCTGGGAAGTTTTGAAAAAAAAAACTTCCCTTAAGTTCTGGAAAGATTTTACTGGAGTTCTGAGAAAAACTTTTCTGAAGTTCTAGAACTTTCCTATAGGTCTGGGTAGAACTTCCCTAAATTTCTGGGAAGAACTGCCCTAAAGATATGGGAAGAATTTTTCTTTAATTATGGAAAAAAAAACATCCCTAAAGCGCTTCGAAGAACTTTCCTATAGTTTTGGAAAGAACGTCCCTAAAGTTCATGGAAAAACTACTCTGAAGTTTCTTGATGAACTTTATTGAAGTTCTGGAAGGAACTTCCCTGGAGCTCTGGAAAGAGTATTTCTGAAGTTCTGAGAAGAACTTTTTTAAGTTGTGGGAAGAACTTATCTCAAGTTCTGGATACAAATTTCCTAGACTTTGGGGAAGAACATTTCTGAATTTCTGGATAAAACTTCCCTGGAGTTCTAGTTCTGAGAAGAACTTTACTGTGAGAAGTACTGTTCTGATGTTGTCGGAAGAATTTCCCTAAAGTACTGGGAAGAACTTCTTTGAAGTTTTGGGAAGAGCTTTCCTAGAAGTTTTGGAAAGAACTTCCCTGATATTCTGGGAAGAACATCGCTAAAGTTCTGAGAAGAATTTCGCTGGAGTTCTGGGAAAAACTTTTCTAAAATTCTGGGAAGAACTTCCCTTCAGTTTTGAGAAAAACTTGCCTCAAGTTGTGGATAGAACTTTTCTAGAGTTCTGGGAAGAATTTTCCCGATGTTTACTTCAGCATATTTGTTTCAAGAACACTTAAGTTCAGAGAAAAAATTCCCTAAAGTTAAGGGAAGAGATCCTATGAAATTTTGAAAAAGACTTCCCTGAAGTTCTGGGAAGATTTTACTGGAGTTCTGAGAAAAAAAATTCTACACCACCGGCGGCGCTAGGTCTTCAGACTGATCAGGTTTCATTCTGAAGATCTTCAACTGTCCAGGAATTCAAATAGCGTCTCTAAGATATTCTTCCCATGATACCAGCATGATCAGAAATTATTTCAAAAACCTACAGATGATCAGAGATTTCTTTAGAAATCATCCGGATATTTTTTCAAGTTTTCAGGTTTATCAGGTGTTATTCTGAAGATCTTCAACTGTCCAAAAATTTAAATCAAGTCTCTCTGAAAGTTCTCTTTTAAGTTGGCAAAACGATTGGTCAAGTAATTCTCTTGGGCGGTGGTTACATTCCATTATTCCAAATGTTTCTTCGAGAGCGTGGTTCAAAGGTCTGGATGTAAGTCGGGGATTCATTCGAGTGATGTCAAGACTTATGTCCAACCACTACTCGCTAGACGCACATCTCTATAGAATAAACCTCGTTGACAGCAATATATGTAGGTGCAGAACCGGTTATGATGACATCGATCACGCAGTTTGGTATTGCCCGGGTAATGACGCCTCCAGAGCACGACTGTTGGATACCCTAGTGGCCCGAGGTAGACAACCCTTCCGTGAAGTAAGATATGTATTGGGAACACGAGATCTTCCCTACATGCAAGCGATCTAGGAATTCCTTTGTTGGTCTGATGTTAGAGTTTGATGTGACTATCCCCTCCTTTCCAAACAATTTCCCGCCATTGTGTCCCAGTCTTATTATCCTCCTGTTCCTGTGCTTCTTGCCCCTGCCCAGCCAGGATTTGGTCAACCGTCCGAGAGTAGTATCTGAAGGAGGCTTCAGAAACCAGTTTCCTACCTAGATCCTTCCAATCGAAATTGTTACCCATTAACCTCGAGCCCGCCACGAGTAATTGGTACTAAATACTAACCTAGAAATACTACTATTTAAAATTTCATCAAACATTACTGATTTTGGCTCCGCAGAGTGTCACACACGACTGAGCCTAGTAAATAAACGAACTAGTTAAAAAAAAGTCTCTCTGATTTTCACCCAGGATACTAGGATGATCAAAAATTATTTCAAAAATCCACCTGTTATTTTAAAGATTTTTTTGAGTTCGCGGACTTCCCTGTTGCTTGCAGAGATTTCCTTAAGTTTGAAGAATTTTCCTGCTGGAAGCAGATTTTACTGAAGTTCTCAGAATTTTCATGAAGTTCTCAGAGTTTTCATGAAGTTCGCCGCCTTTACTGAAAGGTGGCAGAATATTTTCAAAATTCGCAGAATTTTCCAGAAATTCGCAGACTTTCTTGAATTAAGTAAAATTTTCCTGAAGTTCGTAGGCTTCCTTGAAGTTCACAGACTTCCCTGAAGTTCCCAGATTTTTACAGAAATTTGCAGAATTTTGGTGAAGTTTGCAGAAAATATACTGTACGCTCTTGAATTTCACCGAATTTTTCTGGAGTTCTTGAAATTTTTCTGGACTTTTCAAAACGTTCCAGAAGTTCGTTAAAATTTTCTGAAGTTCGCAGAATTTTCCTGAAGCTCACCGACTTTACTTTTGAAGTTTGCAGAATTTCCCAGACATTCACGGACTTCGCATAGGTTCGCAAATTTCCGTGAAGCTCGCCGACTTTCTTTAATTTTTCTTGAAGTTTTCAGAACCTTCCAAAAATAGGCTGAACTTTCCTAAAGCTCGCAGAATTTTATTCGAGTTAATAAAAGTTTTCTGAAGTTTTCAAAATTTTCCGGCAGTTTATTAAAACATTTCCTGAATATTCCAGGAGATCCGTGAAGTTCGCTGAAGTTACCAGAATCATTCTGAAATTCGTATATGTGTCTTGAAGTTCACTGAACTTTCATGTAGTTCTCTGATTTTTTTTTTTTACATTTCAATTAATTTCATAAAATTTTCCTGAAAGCTTAGAATTTCCTTGGAGTTTGCAGAATTTATCCAAAAAAAAAAAAGTGAGCGGACTTTTTTTGAAGTTTGCAGGTTTGAGTTACTATAGATTTTAGAACTTTTCTGTAGTTGTGCATTGTACTGTAGGAAACTCACAGGTTTTTTTAAAGGAATTGTTGAAGTTTTCAGTCTTCCTTGAATTTTGAACAATTTTTTCCGAAATCTACAGATTTTTTTGAATCTCGTCGAATTTTTCTGAAGTTAATAGACTTCCCTAAATATAACTTTTTCGCATGTATGAACGTTAGTTAGAACGTTCCGAAAGTTAGTTTTCTGTGAAATTTACAGTTTCTTTAGTTTTACAGACTTCACTGCTATTTTCAGAGATTTCCTGAAGTTCATAGAATTTTCCTGGAATGAGCAGAATTCACAGAAGTTACTAGTATTTTTCCTGAAGCAAGCTAACTTCACTGAAGTTGACAGAATATTTTTGAAATTCCCAGACTTCCCTGAATTCAGTATAATTTTCAGTTTGCAGACTTTCTTAAAGTTCACAGATTTCTCTGAAGTTCCCAGATTTGTCCTGAAGTTTTCAATACTCTCCAAAATCTTGCTAAACTTTCCTGAAATTCGCAGAATTTTCCTAGAGATCTTAAAATTTTGAACTTTGAACTTCTCTTCGTCTTGAATTTTTCTGAACTTTTCAAAACTTTCCACAAGTTCTTTGAACTTCTCTGAAGTTCGCAGAATTTTCCTGAAGCTCACCGAATTCATTGAAATTCTCAGATTACTTTTGGAGTTCACAGATTTTCCGTGAGGCTCGCAGACTTTCTGTAATTTAGTAAAATTGTCTGAAGTTTCATACACTTTACAGACTTCTTCGATGTTCACAGACTTCCCTGAAGTTCCCGGATTTAAAGAGAAAGCCGATTTAAAGTATAACTCTATAATGCAAAGGAGCTTGGTTTGAACCCATGATTTTCCGTACCTCAGGATTTTTTTAGTGGCCAATACCACTGCTGAGCAGTGGTAGTATCAATATCAGCAGCACGGTGCTGATCATCAATCGCTACAAATCGAATCGATTTACCATCCATATAATTTTCGAAACCGTCATGTTGTAACAAATATCAGTCAATTGGTCCATTGGAATGGTCATCAGTGCAGTTCACTCGACGTTTACGGTGCCTTCATCGAACCAAAAAAACAAAATGGGTTGGCCGCTAATCAATCGGAATTAGCGACTCGATTTCACCAAAACCTCTTCACTCGTATGTGAAATTTTCGGGACCACTCCACAAATTTGCCAACGACCCTCTCGAAGTTCGCCATAAGCAGAGAAGCCCCAAAACGGAAAACAAATCAAACACTTACCTGATTGCTTGACGGTTGCTGTTGCTGTTGCAGCTGCTGCTGTTGTTGTTGTTGTTGTTGTTGTTGTTGTTGCTGGTGTAGTTGAAGTTGCGGTACCATGGCAACACCGCCACCGCTAGCACCGGTTGCTACGATCACTTGCGGCTGAAGATGCTGCGATTGTTGCTGAGGTTGATGGTGCACTACTGCTTGCGTCGTATTCCTGGGCTGGGGCATCGGACCGGGCAGTGACGAGGTCCGAACCGTAGGCACCGGTGGAGGCGGACCTCCACCGCCATAGCCGGGTGGACCCATTTCGGCCATCGTTCTTATTTGCGGGTTGAATCAAATCCACTAACGTTTCGCACGGAGAGATCACAGGTAATTACGTAACAAGGTAACACGCACACACACACACATAGGCGCGTGCACACGGGATTAACCCCGAAGCCGGCGGCTACATCTTATGGTGAAGGGTTCGTTTTCAGGGTTTACGAGCCAGTTGTCCAATTGCTGCGTGTCGTCGTTTGCTGTGGCTTGGAGGAGGCGGAGGAGGTCGTGGTGATTCACCACGCCATCACCGGCACCATCCAGAGCCATCGAATCATATTCATGTGTGTGCCGTGAGGGTGTCCGAAGGTCTTCCGCCGTCGGTCTTATCTCGGCTGCGTCGGTGCAACAAGGCTACCTCCGTCGTCCGTGTGCTTCTGGGTTTCGTTTCACCAAATAAGGTGGCTTCCTTCCTTGTCGTTACAAGACGTACAGCAAAGATATGCCTAAAAAGGGACAAGAAACAAAATACTTAATTAGTGTCAACGGTAAAGGGCAAACCTATAAACATCGGTTCAATCTCCGTCGGGAACTTATGAGTCGCGAGGAATTAAATAATTATACATCGAGTGGCAGCAGTCCATCCAGCGTGCGATCATAAAGCAATTAAAAGCTCGTAAAACAGACGATCGATATGTTTTTTTCCCGCGCGCCCCGGTCTCCCGAACAATAATAATAAAAATGCGCGTCGGTTTTCCCCTTAAACCCAGGCCACCAGCGCCGGCACCGCCGCCGACCAACCCAGCAACGGCAGCCCATAAAAATTCTCAATGCATTGCATTGTGATCGTTGATTTATGTGACTTCCCTCCTCTCCCTCACTCTCACACCCTGGCCACACTTTTCAGAATGCTCGCTCAGTCCAATAGTAATCGTAATAAAAGTGACGGTTTTCAGCATTTTTTCAAGATCACTCTCCGGACCGGCAGCGAGAGTTGAATGTAGTTGATTGTGTGTTGTGTAGCAACCATCCAAGCATGCGGCGCGACTGCGGATTCGTGGGATGATGCCTTGATGGGAACGAGCTGATAAGCACTTTGGCAAAAATCCAAGCAAGCTTGGTAGGCCGAGGGCTCTAGAGCTTGAAGGTTGATTTGCAACGATTCTGACAGACTACGGTCCGAATGCCTTTCAATCAACGTTGCCCGATTCTAACAGTCTGCGTCGGACGTGCGAATCGTTGTAGATCACCGCAGAGGACCACGTCCGGCCCTTGCCAAATTGCTGCAACTGCTTTAGTAATTTGTCAATTTCTATTCTCCTGGGCCCTTCAATGATAAGCCCCTTTTAGATCAACGATTCTCACTTTTTGGGACATTTCATTAACTCGCGACAATATTAATAATCAATGTTAGAGTCGTTGGAAATGCTCAACGTCAGTATCAGACTTAAAGTAAACGATAGATGAGGAGATGAAAGTATAGAAGTGATAGTTTCGTTATAGTACCGGCAGTGTGAAAACTGTATATAGAAAGTAGAAAGCGAGCAAAGGATAATTTTGAGAAATGTACGAATCAGATCGAGCATTCCCTTTACCAAACTCATCCGTCGATGAGGGGCGGTGAGGGGTATTTCCCCTCGTCACCACTAGCAAAAGGAATGATCGCCGATTCGCTTGTGCCTATGAGGTATACATTTATTTGGGTCGCCTTATTAACGCATTAACATATTTGATTGAATTGCGAAATTATGATATGTCTAATTGTCACTAGGCTCTCTCGAAAGGAAACAATGTTGCATCGCCCCTAGTGATAAAAGCAAACGCAAATTCCGGCGAATTAGAAAAAAAATTCTATATAGGAAAATTTCAGGAACTGTATAGAAGTTCTGAGTTCTGGAGCAATTTTGAAAACTTCAGTTGAGTTTAAAATCCTTAAGTTATAGTTCAGAACAGTTCGATGAATATCTGGAAAATTTTCAGGAACTTAAAGTAAATTTCGGGAACTGAATTTCGATCTGTTAATAATATTGCAATAGATTCGAAAAGTACTGAGTTAGAGGTGGGCAAGACAGCTCATCTGGCTGAGTGGATCAGACCCGTCCAGCTCACGCAGGGGAGCCGATTATTTTGAACAGCTCATTAGCTCACATTGAAATTATAGAAATTTTGACACACCAATTGCTCTCACTGTTCTTGGCTTCAGCTCCAGATCATCAGCTCAGATCCGAATCAGAAGCTGAATCGTGAAGAATCGAGATAAAAAAAGATTCGAAGAGCTGGACGGGTCCAAGAGCTGTCATTCTAAACAGCTCCCATAATGATTCATTCCGGTCGATGATTCGGATCCGGAGATGAGTTGTGAGGTTGACAGCTGCATTTCGCTTTTCAGTTACCCGTGAAGCTTTCTAATTCCAATCAGTGCCTAATTCCATTCACGTGGGTTTAAGCGGTGTATATCAAGCCGACTTGCCATCAGTAAAACTACCCAAGTAACATTTCAAGTTTTATCGTGGTTTTAAAGTGTTCTACAAGTCTAAATCATGGTCTTCGGAATCCTCATAAAACCCAAATTGCTCCTTGGGTATGTTAACATATGCAAATCTAAATCAATAATGTTTCGATTATTAGAAATTATTAGATTGGAATTAGAAAGCTTCACGGTATTTGCGTTTGTTAGGAAGATCCCGATGAGAATGGTGGGAGAGTTGAGGAATAACATCAGCAATAAGAGCCGGGTAGGTAAATACATTGAAAAATACCAGTAGAAATTAACCATCGTGTAACACAAGTATAGAGAGCAGGCTTCCAAAAAGTACAGCCTCCTCGCGACAGTTGGTTTATACCTGACTTGACTGTTGCTTTGTGTGCTTTACTACCGCTTGCTACCGTACGTTCAGATCTGAATTCGAAGTGTATTGGCAACAGCGCACGCACCAACGAATGAAAGCTGTATTAGAACAGTCGCATCTATACCCGCTTTGCTAAAATAATCGTGCTTGGAACGTAGTTAACCGAATGGGCTGTATTTATACATTTATTTATGACCAGGTTCTCAATGTTTCTGTCGTCATAACAGCCTTCACAAACCGACGACATCCCTCAGCTTACCCAAGTGGCTGTCACGAAAAGGCTGTCACGAGACATTATATACAATTGATATACGGCAGTAAAGTATGGAAGAAACCCAGAAGAATGATCCCGAACAGATATGTCGGCCCGATGTCGGATCAATGTAAGGTCAATTTACGGTCGACGTCGGCCAAATGTCGGGTCGATGTCGGGTCAATTATGTGTTTATGTCGGGTCAATGTCGGGCCAACATCGGGTTGGGGTTTGGTAGAAGTCAGGTTGGTTTCGGGTAGGCTTATATTTTTCGCCGGAGACCGTGCGTTTAAAAAAAAATATCGGATGAAAATTTTGCAATGGACAGCACGAACGTGATAGCAACCGAACGAGCTCCGGCGTCACACTGGTAGTGTAGTAGCAGTCTTACGACATACAAACAAAATTTCAAATCCAGCAGCAACGAATCGGCAGTTTGACGGACTGCTTGTTGTATGTACGAGGAACGTTACGAATGACCATCCGAGCGGCGCTGGTGGTGTAGTGGTAAGCGTGATTACCTCTCACCCCAGCAGGCCTGGGTTCAATCCCAGTCGGCGCCGCCGGGATGTTCTGAGGCATAACATCTCTGATCACGCCTTCCTTCGGATGGGAAGTAAAGCCGTTGGTCCCCGGTTCATGAGTTGATGGGTCGATAGGTAGGATCCAGGTGTGGGAGCTGCCTTCCTGGCGTCGGTAGCATTGGTGCTCAGCACGGAAAACAAGATCGACGGAAAACAAATCAAGGAAAAAAAAAAAAAAAAAAAAAAGAATGACCATCCGAGGCTGTCATAGCCGAACGAACAAAATACATGACTAAGAACGAGCTGTCGTGTACTGCACAAGACGGCAACGTTGCATGTCGTATAACAGCCTCACTGTGGGCTGTCGCTTATAGCTCAATCTCAAGGCTGTCGTAGGAAAAAGAAAGCGACAGCCGTTGGAATACTGTCATGAGGCGGTACTTTTGGTATGCCTGATAGAGAGACAGTCCTTTTTTGAAAAGCTCCGCTATAAGTGACGGATTGAATGGTTTAGACTTGTGATATCAATGAGCTGATGAGCTGCGGTTCCTAAAAAATGAACCGTGGGTCATCAGCTCACTTTAGTGAATCGGGTCTTTAGAACAGCTCGAGAGCGGATCGCCCATTTCTATACTGAAACGCTTCATTCAAATTCACTTCGGAAAGTACTGAAACACTTAAGCAAAGAATCATTTAGGAAAATACTGAATTACTTATCAAAAGTTTGAAATCACTTCAGAAAGTACTGAATCACTTAGGAAACGTTTGGACTCACTTTGGATAGTCACTTCTGAAATGTTTTCAATCACTTTGGAAAGTACTGAAACACTTTTGAAATGGTCGAAGTCACTGAGGAGAGTACAGAATCACTTCGGAAGGGTTAGGCATTACTTTCTAAAGTACTGATAAACTTCCGAAAATTTTGGGCTCATTTCGGACAGGATCTTCGGATCTCTATACTGAATCGCTTCATTCAAATTCACTTCGGAAAGTACTGAATCACTTAAGCAAAGAATTTCATCATTTCGGAAAGTAGTTAATCACTTCAGAAATGTTCAGAATCACTTCGAAAAGGACTCTGAATTGCTTCAAAAAGTTTAGAATAAATTTGTAAATCACTGAATCATTTAGGAAAATACTGAATCACTTATCTCAAGTTCAAAATCACTTCAGAAAGTACTGAATCACTTAGGAAACGTTTGGACTCACTTTTGATAATCACTTCTGAAATGTTTTCAATCACTTTGGAAAGTACTGAAACACTTTTGAAATGTTCGAAGTCACTGAGGAGAGTACTGAATCACTTCGGAAGGGTTAGACATTACTTTGTAAAGTACTGATAGACTTCAGAAAATTTTGGACTCATTTCGGACAGTACTGAATCATGCCAGAAAAGTTTTTAATTTCTTCCCCAGGTACTAAATCACTTCGAAAAGAACTGACTCATTTCAGATAAGTTTGGGATCAATTATCAAAAAAGAAAAGCAGTAACTAAATACGGAAAGTACTGAATCATCGCGGGAAGTTTGTAATCACTATCGTACCGAATCACTTTGGAAAGAACTGAATCACTTTAACAAAGTTTGAAATCACGTCAGAAAGCACTGAATTACTTCATAAAAATTTGGAATCACTTCAGAAAAGCTCGGAATAACTTCGGATCGTATTGAATCACTTCAGAAAATTTCGGACTCACTTTGGAAAGTGCTGAATCATTACAGAAAGTTTGTAATCACTTTCACAAGAACTGAATCACATCGAAAATAATTTCATCACTTAGGAATGCACTGAATCACTTCAGCAATGTTCGGAATCACTTCAAAAAATACTGGAACACTTCAGTAATGTTCGGAATCACATTGGAAGTACTGAATCGCTTC